GGTTGGGATTGAGGGGCGCTGGGGGGCAGGGGACTGGGGGTCAGAAGTGAGGGGTGCCAGGGGGGCAGGCGGCTGGGGGTCGGCAGTGAGTGGCGCTGGCGGGGTCCAGGGGCTGCGGGTCGGGAGTGAGGGGCCCAGGCGGGGTCCGGGGACTGCGGGTCGGCAGTGAGGGGCGCCGGGGGGCCAAGGGGCCGTGGGTCGGCAGTGAGGGGCGCCGGGGGCCTGGGGGCTGGGGGGCGGCAGGGAGGGGCGCCGGGGGCCCGGGGGGGGGGTCACCTGGAAGAAGGTCATGGTGGAGCCGGCGTGGATGGTGCCGTACTCGATGTTGGTCTGGTCGGCCAGGTCGTCGGCGGACTCGACCGGCACCTCCATGCGCTGCACCGTCAGGAAGGCCGCCAGGTTGGCCGTGTAGGACGAGATGATGATCAGCGTGAAGGCCCACCTGGCGGAGAGGCCGTGGGGTCAGGGACCAGCCCCCGAGACCCCCAGAGCGCAAGGCTCCAGACCCCCAAGACTCCCCGCTGCCCCCCGAAACCCTCGCCGCCACCCCCAAAGCACGGGGCTCCAGGCCCCCCTCCAGCCCCCCGGCACTCACCAGACCCCGCTGACGCAGCGCGTGGACAGGGCCCGGGGCAGCACCTCGGAGCCCTGCTGCATGAAGCCGCCGATGGGGAACCAGAGGCTGTTGCCGAGGCTGTACTGGTTCTCCAGGACGTGGGGGCGGCCCCGCAGGCAGGGGTGGGGGTTGTACCACTCGTACGGGCTCAGCCTGCGGGACAGGGGCAGTGAGTGGGGGGGCGCTGGGCACCCTGCCGCCCCAGTCCCGCTGCCCCCCGTCCCCCCACATCCCTGTTCCCCACGTACCCCTCCCCCGTCCCTGCCGCCACGTCCCCGTCCCCCCACATCCCTGTTCCCCACGTACCCCTCCCCTGTCTCTGCCGCCATGTCCCCATCCCCCCATCCCCCCTGCCCCCCACATCTCTGTTCACCACGTACCCCTCCCCTGTCTCTGCCGCCATGTCCCCGTCCCCCCACATCCCTGTTCCCCACGTACCCCTCCCCTGTCTCTGCCGCCACGTCCCCGTCCCCCCATCCCCCCTGCCCCCCACATCTC